TTTTATTAGTAACATTAGTATCATTTTAATAAAGGTTATTTACTTAACATAAAAGGAAAGGTCTCACTAACTTAAAATCAACTGATGCCACCTTAATCCTCACTTATAACTTATTGGGTTGAGGAGAGACTCAAGGTAGGGAATATTATAAGTGGAAATATTATTTAGAAAGCTATTGCAAAAACCCAAATGACCAAAGAATGAACTATAAGAGAGGAGGTCAGGTGGTGAAATGGAAAAGAAGCATTATTTGCAGCAAAAACTGGTAATACAGTTAGGGTAAAGAAGGAGGAGAGAGCAGAAAAAAATCGGAGGAGGCTCTGACTTCCTTCCTACAGAAGGACCTCCTTATGGACTGTATTGAAGGGAGTTCAGTTGCGAATACATTCAAGATGGGTTTTTAACACATGGAATCGGAAGAACTGTGGGTCATCCAAAATGAAATGTCCAACATACAATTCGATCCCTCACTTGGAATTTCAGAGAAGATGACACTGTTTAGATTTATTGTTATATAATCACAAACAGTCCGTGTGTGTTATTTGTGCTGCAAAATTTTCATTTAACAAATGCTGTGTCACTATTTCGTTTTTGGCCTCGTCTGCATATTATCCCAGCGTCTCACTGGTAAACATCCCGTCATGTAGATGTGCTCAAAACTGCTTCAGGACTATTGCTGCACATTTGAATACTATTGGAGAAGCAGAATTCCTACGCCAAGAAGGACTCTTGAGAGTGTCCAATTCCACTTTTTTAAGAAATGAGAAAGTTAATTCTAGTTATGGGTAAGTAAGGTATCCAAAATGGCTGAGATCAATAAAGGTAAAAGCATGATGACTTAACCCAGGCTTTCTCCCACTGTCTCACACTGCTAATGTTCAATATAAACATCTTGTGTCCTCAGTTAGACTGAGCCATTTTCACAAGCAAAAAATGAGTCAGAAGAACATACAGTGAATTATGAACCTCAAAGCACTTAACGGCATATCAAGATATATAGGAAGCGTTAAAATAAATCATGTTTTGGACAAAAATTGTGAGGCTTTTTTTTTTTGGTTTAAAGCAATATGTGTAGCTTTCATATGCCAAATACTATCCAGAGACAGAAGTCTGCAGATCTGTGTAATGTTCGCCAATGTAAAATACTTCGAGGACAGCCTAGGGGAGAGGCTCTCAGTAAATATTGTATCAGCCTTAAAGGTTTTTAAAAATGTATTAAAACTATTAAAAATCGATTACATCTATGGAAAATAAACTCCTTAAAATAATTACACCTTGAGGAAACCCTTTTTTCTTTTGCTATTATAAATGCCTTACTTTGAACATCAACTCATTCAAATGTATAGTGTATATGTGTGTATATACACACACACACACACACACACACACA